AGTTTCTCATAGCCCACTTTCAAAGTCCAGGGGTTGTTTACATGCTGACACAGTCTGTGGATGTGAGTTGCCATACAGCAACTTTGCCTGGTGACAATCTTGTCGCTACATCTTGTCGAATTAAGTAATAGCCACATGAGAACAGCAGAGCGAGTCACCCTTGCTCTGAGCTAATTATAGAGAAATATGCAACCCAGTGACGAAAGAGAACTTGTTCCTGCCCTTGATGAAAGGCTGACAAGTGAAACAAAGCTAAAAATGCATCATAATGCACAGAGGTATACAGAATATTTATTTTAAGCAACAAATTATATTATAAACAAAAGTAATACTGAAAATAGTTGACATCTCCATACTGACAGATTTATTTTTCTGTGCACAGAGATACACGTTTGCTGATTGAGCATTATGCTGACCCTGTTATTTTCTGTTTTATATATTGCAATAGTGTGATTGTGTTCTAAAGCTACAGTAAGTTAGTTTTTTTCTAAGATGAACCTCCATCTTTGCTACTTTCTCATGTAATCTAGAAGAACCAGAATTTTCCTGTATTTGGCATCATGCATCTTCCTATAAAGTCTGACCATCTTTTTTATCCCTACAGATCCTTACAGCTTAATACTCAAATGGCTAAACTGTTGAATCATGCTTGAGATTTTCTGTTTATAGTAATGTGCAGAAAACATAACTCGATGGGATGATTTAGGCGTTTCTTTGGACAATTGTTTTCCTCTTGTGAAAATCCCATAAAGTGTTGCTATACCTAAATAAAATTACTGTTTCCACTTATACTCTGTCCATTATTAGGTGATGGATTGTACCATCTCAATAAGAGATTCAATCCTAGAGGCATAATAATCTAGCTTCATTTTTAAGTGTAGCTATTCTGAGTTTGAATTACAGACAGGTTGGATTTTTTTTTTGTTTACTATGTGACTTTTTAAGGCAATTGCTTGCATCCCTCTTATTTAAGGGAAGCTAAATAAATCCTAAATATTTTCAGCTTTTAATTTGAAAAAAAAAAAAAAGATATGAAAGACCATGAATGAATTTCTGTTGCAGTAAAATACATTAAAGCTTTTTATGAAACCTAAAAAATAAAATAAAAATATGCATGAAATATAAATGCATTTACAAAGTGCCGTAACACATTTTAGTATTCATGTTTATTCTGTTTTCATCATAAAAGTCAGGCTGTAAAATGTACCAGTATTCGTTGAGTGTTTCACAGATTCTTACAAATCAATCTCAGAGTATGTTGTAAATAGCGCCTATGTCAGGTCTTATGTGTAAAAAGCAAAACCAGTGAAGTGGGAAATTATTTAAGATTGCTCTGTATTGATCACAGCTTCCTTCCACAGCTCCCAGGGTTTATTTCTGACTTGTATATTAGAAGCTGTAATATAAGAAGCTGAACCCTAGAGAAAAATAAAATGGCAAGTGCACAATGTCTCATTCGTGTCATTTCAGCAACCTTTATTTGACATGTTACACCGGTCACACTAACACACTGTACACCACCCTCACCCCCACCACAGCTTCAGTCCTATGTTTGTCATATGCAAATTGGAGAAGGAATCTAGAGCAAACTATACGCCTGTCAATAAATCTTAAAATTAAGAAACCATTAAGAAAAGAGGAACAAATAAAGGCTTTTAGAACTTTTTTTTGTTTTTGTATTTCATTGTTTGACATTAATGGGACCTGATGTGGTGTGCCTGCAGCTTTGCCAACATAATGGCCCGGTGTTGCCAACTCTTTTCTGTGGGCATCTAGTATGTGGTTGCTGTAATTGCCTGTGTCTTTAAAAATAAGCCAGCTTAATATTCCTTGTTCAGAAAACTTGCCAACGAATATTAAAAGATTGATTCATCATTTTTGGTCCAAAGAAACAGCTATTTCATCAACAGAGACATTAACGCGGATGTTCAGTATTTTGTGTCTCAAAGCCTTGGCTGCCTATCTGTTACATGTAGTGTTACGCAGAAGCCAGAGAAGTCAACAACACTGTTTTCTCTGGAGGAGAGGATGAATAAGAAGGCTGGGAAGAAGTGAATATGTGACAAAAAAGAGGAATATCTCCAATAGTGAAACGCTATTAAAATCTTGTTAAAGGAATAGTACACCCAAAACACGATTAGCCTTCATTTTCTACTCACCCCCATGCTGAACAAAACTCTGGAGTACTTTTTTGATATCTCAAATGCATCTGGAGATCTGGGAGGCTTCTTGCTGTCTGCTGACATTCAAATAATGGAGGTCTATGGTGACCGAGACAGAAAGGTCCATAAAAGTCCACAAAAACGTGTCAATATTCCTCCATACTGCTCGTCCAATGTAATCCAAGTGTCCTGAGTGGGTAGCATCCAGAATGTACTCGAAACAAAGTCATTTAGAACGTTTTAGAGCCTAACCAGCGCATTCAGCTCGGCAAAGAACTCATGCTCTTCCTCAACACTGAAGTCCTCAGACATTTTTCTTTCGTTGTTTCTTTCTTTGCACAGGTAAACAGCACATTTCTTCTTCTACGCTTGCATTATCGGCAGAGCAGACGCTGAATGCGCACTTTCTTCCGGTTTGGTCTGCCGGCTTCCGTAGAATCGTGAGCGCGCATGGGGGCGCTATTAGGAAATCCTATACACTACTTTTTAGGCTCTAAAACGTTCTAAATGACTTCGTTTCGAGTAAATTATGGACGCTACCCACTCAGGACACTTGGATTACATTGGACGAGCAGTATGGAGGAATATTGAAACGTTTTTGTGGACTTTTATGGACCTTTCTGTCTCGGGCGCCATAGACCTCCATTATTTGAATGTCAGCAGACAGCAAGAAGCCTCCCAGATCTCCAGATGCATTTGAGATATCAAAAAAGTACTCCAGAGTTTTGTTCAGCATGGGGGTGATTAGAAAATGAAGGCTAATCATGTTTTGGGTGTACTATTCCTTTAAGTTTATTCTTTAAAAGGTGAAAATATCTAGATGTAACATTCTGCAGTTCATATTATTGATAGCTTCCATTGTAGTGATGATTGTTTAGTTTAATAAATGTTCTTTTTTTTTTACACTCATTCTCTAGCCTCCATTCCACCACTAGTGTCAGATTCTATGGGGGAAGACATCTTAAACCTTGATCTACCACCTCATGCAGATTAACTGCGTTCAGCATTGATGTCTCGGCTTATTCCAAATGAATTACAGTTTTCACGTCAATCAAACTTTCTAATTGAGGCTTTCCTCTGTGTGAGTCACTCCAGATTAAAATTATTCCATATACTTTAAAAAAAACTTTTAAATTTATGCATTGGATTTTTTTCTCTCAGATGTAGAGACAGATTCTGGTGCATTTGCAGGAATGCCTATTCATGTACACTGTCCCTGTCAAATAAATAAATAAATAAATCTAAATCAAACAACAAAAAAGGTAATGCAAAATGGTGATTAGCAGTATACAACTGCTGCTCTCACTACATAATGAATACATAGTGGCAATATTGGATTCAAAGGTAATTTCTCCCTCCTGGAGTTCTTTGTTTTTAAACCCAAGAAGTTTTTTTTTTTAAAGAAGTTTTTGAGGCAAATTGAATGGAGACATTCAATCCACTGATGTGTGATTTGAAAAAAAATATGTTTCTGTACTTGTTACTTGGAAAAACATTTAGCACAACCATAATGCGGGAAAAATAATAGGAGAAAACTCAACATAATCTTCATATAGCTCTTAGCTGAGTGCATGCTCCTTTTCTCTTTGAATGCAGAGGCTGTCAGCAGACTCCCCTTAATGTGGCTTATGTAACTTGTATTGGGTTATCTTTCTTGGAACTGATCAGCAAACTATCCACATGGTGTGCAGTGTGATTTGTGTAAAAGGCCAACAAATTATCACTGGTTTGTGGAGTTGATGACCTGAGCTTGTACTTTCTCCACCTTTCCTTAAAGTCAAACCGCTTTGTCATCCAGTGGGAAATGACACACCGGCACATAGCCCTGACAAGGCTCTGCTGACTCTGCTCACAGACAGGCCATCATGTGCTGCAAAGGAGAACAGTGGGCAATTTCTGCTCTTCTACTTACTCAGGAAAGCATTTATAGAGATTGCTTTCACTTGATATACCATTCTTCTTTTCAAAAACAAACTTTCAAACCACTTTACTGGGACCGAAATCTAAGGCTACATAGATCAAAATGGCTGCCATCAAATCTATTTTGATGAAGCTTCTGTTATTTTAGTTTTTTATAGGTTGTGTTGAAAAATTGCAGCTCAGCTTTCCCTTTTATTAAAATGTGACATATATACCAGAAACAGATTGGTTAGAAGAGTTTTGAATGTATTGTACATGACATAACACTGCTATTATCGGCCAAATAGTCTGACTCTGAAATATTTGGAAAATTAAAATTCTCGAACAGTAAATTTTGGATGTGTTGCTAATTTTTATCTCTCTTGCCACCCCTGTCATGATATTTATGGTACAAAAACTTGTCTTCATTCAATCCATATTCTTCATAAATCTAAAACGTTCTCATTATTTCCTTTGCTGCAGGTTTATAGCTATTCCTTTGTTCTAATTTTCTAAAATATAAAGATCACATGTCCACATGGCACGTGACATGTTCCCTAGTCCTTTCTCTTTTTGTTTTTATTTTTTTTTTTTTATTTATTAATTTTATGAGTGCCTGTTTGTGTCACCCAATAATTATATCCAAAAAACTTTCTTTCTTCTGTACTATTTACAAAACAAAAATGCTAAATGTGCCACTTTTTTTCTGCATTAATGTACTAGAATTAAAAATTGTCATTTTTTTTTCTATTTTATTGTGAAGTTATAGCATTGCAGTGAGACTAAACCCAATTAAAAGGTGCTGTAAGTTTGTGATCATAATGACTTAACCATCTATTTCATTTAGAAAAAGAACTGCAACTTTTCATGTTTTCATTACACTTGTTCAAAAGAAATGTATTGAATATGACTATTCAAATCTTCCCTTTTTCTTTCTAGATAGCAGAGTTTATATTCCATCTTTTGATGGGACATCATACCTGAAGCTGAAGCCTCTTGCATCCTTCTCACAACCTTTGAATGACAGCAGTAATTCAACAACAGCAGCTGAAGGCATCTCTTTCTATTTGATGGTTAAAACAAAATCAACACAGGGCACCATCCTCTTCAGTGAGTACAGTTTCCATTAAAGAATAAATTACTATTTTTTCAGATTCTTTTCTTCTATTATAACTACTATTATAACTTTTTCTTTTTATATTTTTTATTACTTAACTTTATTTATTCTATTTTGCTCTATTCACCTTTTTTTTTTTTTTTTTTTTTACAATTTCTTTATTTGCCTGAAAATTGCCTCTGTGCTAAACACGCTGTTAGCCACCAGTTAGATAGAATCTATTATGATACAAAGGTTTAGAAAAGTTTGTTAATAGTCTGATTCTGTAAAACATGACTAATTTTCTCTTTATCACATTTCTTTTAAGTGTAAAGCTAAAGAAGGTGATTTGATTGCTTTTTATTTATTGCAATTTAGTTTAATATTCAGAGCAGTACCACGCAAGAGTTTATGCTCGGAAAGTAAAATTCTTGGTATCTGTGTTGCTGAAGCCCATTTTAGAGCAATGTTCAGTGGTTGTTCTCTTTTTTTAAGCAAAAGTAAAAATGTGTTTATTAAGGTTTTTTAAGGTTCTCAAAATGTTCTTCTCTAACAGAAAATGATTACAGCAGTTGCTGTACTAAAGGGAAAACACAGTTAATGCAGTTCAATTTTATGTAAATTCATTATTACTCTAAAAGGCTAAAGAAAGTATCACAGGAGATCAATGATCTATAGAACAAGGAAAGGTATAAAATTGAATACATTTTGATCTCCTGTTACTGTCAGTATCAGAATTGCCATTTATTTATTATTTTTTTATATTATACATTAAAGAAGTGGTATGAAGAATCTTAAGGAAATATCAACTCATTCATTAAAAAACCATGAGTTGTTTATATTTTGTTGGTAATTTTTAAAGGCAAATACAGATATTTTGTGTAAATGTTAAGTTTTATTTTGGTTTTAAAACAATTAGATCATAAAAGTAAGAAATAAAGCTTAACTTAAAAAGAAACATTAGGTTTGAGAGGAAAGATTGGTCCTCATCGGAAGGATAACAATTCCAACTAATCTTCTGCGGACACCACGGCAGCTTTTTTTTTAGTGTTTCACAGCAGATGATTGAGCTGTAACCTAAAAGCAAACAAAAGAGTTCTCAAGAGCTGGTCACTCACATTCAGAGATAACATTGCTTTCACCCTTTACATCAACCTTGAGCTCTACATTGTATCTCTGTCTCTTACCAGCTCCTTTGTTGCTACACCTGCACAGACACATACACAAACCCCTTTGTTACAGAGGAAGATTGGGATGGGGATACCAGACAGCCCCTGAGTGGACTCTCCTAACAATAAAGCATTGTTTAGGGCAGAGAGAGAAGTCGCTTAGATCTTATTCATCATTCCTTTCTTTATAATTTTTCTAGGAGTTTTACAAAAGCTTAACCATGAGGATGAGGCTTAATCTTACCATATTAATCTCCATTACAATTCTGTCAAAGCATTTGCATGTACTAAGTTTCCAAACAGCTTCGAGGTGAGGTCACAGCATGCATGCCTTGAGTTATAGGTCCTCTAATGACTGCGAAAAACATCCAAGCGTGTGTCTCTGCGGACCACAGTTGCTGCTCCTCGCTCTAAAAACTGCAGCCACCTTGATTTTTCTGCTCCCATGTTGCACAAGTCAGGTGCAAGTCCAACTAAAGTTTAACCACCGTGCATTGTGTGGCGATCATGGGTGATTTATTTCACACAGGCTGAGTACAGACATCATAACATTCATCTTGCCGGTATGGCCTAGATCAACCTCTTATCTGTGACATCCTCTGTAGGTTCACAGTCTCTGATCTACATTTCCAGGTCTGTAAAATGTTACAGTGCACCTCGGGGTTAAATGTCTCTCCTGTGATCAAAGCAGAAAATTTCTAATCTCAGGGACTATGTAACAGCAAGATGAGGGCTGGCTAAAATGCTCCCTTGAACCCAAACATTATGTTTCCTACTGTGTGAATAAATCTAAACAAGTACATTTTTGCTTAGGGTGAATTTTCGGCTTTTAAAGTTTATTAGAATAAACCTTAAAACTGGACTGAAAATATATATGTATTTTAAGTAGTAGTTCTTCTAATGCTTTTATGAGATACTGAGATTTTTTTAAATAATAATATCAATATTTTTTCTTTGGATAAACTTTGGTCTCCCTTTAGGTTTGCTAAGTTCCTCCGTTTTAAACTAAAGGTCAATTTTCTATTCTTAAAGAACCATTAATAAATTAGCTAGGAAAATCTAAAAATGCTAATATATATCTTTTATATGAATTGGTTTATTTAAAAATGGGTCAAATGCTTTATTGAAAATATAGCAAATGTCTGACTCAAGGCCTATTTAGAGCTACTACAAATACATTTTGTGTAACTGAAAATCTGGATCAATAATTTATTATTTAGTTATATTGTGCCTATTGCAATGTTGTTTTTTTAGGGTTTGGTCTTGTGTGGTGTAGAGAAGAGAACATGAAGAAAGGGACATAAATACACGTTTTCTGTGCACTATCGATATATTACATGGCCTCATAAAAAGCAAGGCAACATTTCTTATTAATCATAAAGCTAATCTGTGATTGTATTTAATGTAAATATTGATGTATTGACTGTAATTTTAGCACACCAATTAATCTACAAATGGATGGCACTTACTGTATAAATAAGTTTGTAAATTTACCTTTCAATATGTTTGTTCTCAAAATAGTATGTTGAGCTATACAAAAATGTTTGATACATTATTATAATACTTGTTTTGCAGACTCTAAGAAAGGATTTCAGAATAGAGCAGCAGACTAATTGTAAAGACGCTTCACTATAGCAACTACTTGCTTTATGTGTTTTTAGAAACAGAAAAATGCACTTGTAGTGAAATGAAATTTTATATTATATTACTTTCCATTTTACATACTTGGAAAGTATTGACATTGTCTTGCAAAAGTACATATACCCCTTGAACATGTTTACATTTTACTTTAAAACCATTACTTGAATTTGTGAATAAGTGCATCATTATAAAATGGAAATAAATTGAGAATTTTTTTTTTTATGATTAGAATATAAAAAGGGTGGCATGTTTTTGTTTTCTACCCTTTTTACCAGCCTTTTGTAGCTGGTAAAAAGGGTAGGGGGGTGGGGGGGGGGTGGGGGGGGGGGGGGCAATTTAATACAATTGCACATCCAGACACTCAATTTGTGCCCATTCTTTTTAAAATAAAGTATTTAGTCAAATGTAACAGAGTATCTGTAAAAGAAAGTTTATCTAAATTCCATCTGCATCTATATTTGGACTCTATTTTAACTATCAAATTTGGGTTTAATACCCTATAACCCTTATTTTTTAGTAATTCATTATATCTCTTTATGGGACGTCACTAGAGATTTGACACTTTGATACAATATAAAGTAGTCAGTGTGATGATTGCAACCCCTTTGGATTTACTCTCCCCTCAAAATAATTCAGCAGTAAGCCATTAGTGTCTAAACTGCCAGCAACAAAAGTGAGTAACGCCCCAATTATCTTCTAAAAGTGATGCACAAGAAAGCCTGCAAACAGTTTGCTAAAATCAGGCAGACCAAGGACATGGATTGTCTGGTCTAATAAGACCTTGATGCATTTATTTGATTCAGATGGTGTCAATCGTGTTTCACAGTAATCGGCAGAGGAGTACAAAGATACGTGTACTGTACCTGCAGTCATGCATGGGGGTAGGGGTGTCATTGTTTGGGGTGGCATTGATGCTGCTAACTTTCAGAGCTCATTGAGGGAACCATAAATGAAAACCTGTACTGTGACATACTGTCCTGAAGCAGAAAATAATTCCCTTCCTTCAGAAACTAGAAATGTAAAGCAGTTATGTAACATTATAAAAAACCCAAACACCACTTTGTTAAATATACCTGACTTGCCAAGGATGTCACCGACCTAAACCACATTGAGTGTCTGCTTGGCATCTTCAACTGGAAGGTGGAGGAGCCCAAAAGGATGAGACATTTACCAGCTCTGTGATCTCATGGACAAATGGAAGAGGATTCCATAGAAAAACCTGTAAAGCTGTAGTGAACTCCACATCCAAGAGAGTTAAATAATTGAAATATAAGTTCCTTGGGAAGGTGTATACTCACTTTTATTGCCAACAGTGTAGACATTTAATCTTGTGTTGACTTATTTTTAGGGGACACATTTTAGCCGTAGTGCGAGGGTGAGGTATTTTGCTTAATGATTGGCAAGCTGAACAAGAAAACAGCATCAGCCATTGGTTTCAGATTCCTCTGATGTTTTTTTATTTAGCCTTTTTCACTTTGACAAACATTTCCTTGAGATTCCCAGAACTACAGTTTGTATCCCCAATTGGCAACACACCTGCACTTTAGTGGACCAAGCCACGATTAAACACACAGAAAAAATAAACAAAGGCATTATAAATAAAAAATAAGTATAAGGGACAAGTGGTGAACACAAACTGAACCACTTTATCACAACGAGCTGCAAAATGACTATTTGAACTTTCTAGTGTTATATTGCATTACATTTTCATTGTTGTTACATTGAAATACTAAATGAAATATTAACATGGCGGGTACTTACTGTACTTTGCCAACCAAGATGGATGTGTATTTCATTATGCATGTTGGAAATAAGGTAGATAGAGAAAAAAAAATGTTCTAATAAAAGTAGTTACTTTGATGAAAATAAAGTTACCCGTGTAAAATGTTACTCAAATAAAAGTGAAAAAGTACCTTATTAAAAAGTAATGGAAATCCCTTTATTGTCCCACAATGGGGAAATTCATTCTGCATTTTAACCCATCCCCTTGTGCAGTAGTGGGCTGCTATAGTGCGGCTACCGGGGAGCAGTGTGGCCCTGCTCAGGAGCCCAGAGTCTGGGTTCCTGTGGGGATCGAAGCGGGTGCTTGCAACCTTCTTAGAGCACAAGCGCAGTGCTCTAACCACTAGGCCAACACTCCCCTTATTTATGTTTATTTCAGTAAAAATGAGTTTTATTTAGTTACTTTTATCTAATCCAAAATA